GGACATGTGATTTAGTTACTGATGGTGCATTTATAGTAATTATGTAAATCACTGCACTCTGGAAGGTTGATTCTCATTATAAACCAGAATATCTAATTTTTTTTAATTGCGTATTTGAGTAATAGCAACAGTAGTGATTATGTAAATTATATTGCAAAACAAAATAACTGAAAAAAAAGCTAGACAAGCATATGTCAACATCAGAGTTCCACAACTAACATTCTATTTGAGCAAAAATGAAGCTTTAAATTACGTTTTTGTTGTTGTTTTCTCAAAATTAGTGTTAAATTGGCTAGCACAACCTTTTGCACATGATTAGAGTTTATTAACAGTTTCCACAGATTCTAGTTTTGTTCTGTTTGAAATCGCACCTTTACAATCCACCTTTTGCAGAATGAGTGTAATGAATAGCTGCTGCCAAAGAATAACTTAAGGCAGGTATTACTCAGTCTATCCTGATTATTAATTTTCATGCATTGGCTTTGAATCCAGTCCATTTATTCCTTGCAATTCATCACTAAGTGTTTTTCAGGTCATCATCAGTCGAAAATACCATAGCCATCTCCCATCTTGATGTTTTAAAGTGGACAAAATATCCAGATTCCACTGGAAATTAAAAGCCAGAACAAAAAGGAGTTTTTCATTTATTATTCCTTATAAAGAAATAGAAATCTCTTCAGGATGAAGATTACATAAAACACTGAAGGCAGACAGATGAAGTTCAAGAGATAAACAGCACCAGAGGTACATACTACAGTATGCAATGATTGATACTTAATATTGTAAGCCAACTGACAAAAGTACTGAAATCTAATATATTTCTTAACTGCATATGGTTAATTCTTCCTGTGTATTTGATTGCTTCAGGCTGTCTCTTAATGACAGTTAACTCTATTGCACTAGTTTAATTGGACATATATTGTATCTCCTTCCATTACAGTAAGTAGGGGTCTTGATTCTCATGGAGCTCTTCCCTAAGCTCCCAGCCCTTCTGAGAGATTTCTGAGTTATTTTTTGTCCCAGTCAGGTTTAGTTTGCTTGCCCCAAGCAAGTGAACACAGGTATCTCCCTCGTTCCTCATCTCAAGGAGCTGCTCTTCTGATAAGTGGATTAACACGGTGTCAGGTGCCCCAAAGGGAGAGGATCAGGGCTGGCATCAGGGCTCGAAAGGATCAAGAGAGTGGCTGAACCTGTGGTAGCATGAGATATGGACTCTCGTAGGAGATAACTAAGCCCTGCCTCCTCCACCTCTATAAAAGGAGAACCTCCTCTGCACCTTTTAAGATAGCCATAAGACAGTTTAAGACCACAGTGACCTTTTCCACGGGGAAATCACTAATTACGTGTACTTTCAGTTGCATTAATGGAAATTCAAATCTTAGCTGCTCACAAAGGTCGCAGTTGTCTCTTGATGAGGAAGATGTGGAAAATTACCCTCATTCACTCACAATCAGTAAAACTAACAAGCAGAATGATATGTTAACATAGACTTATTTCATCTGGACTGCCCAAATTGCTGTGCAGTATAATGTATATGCTAATGAATGGTAATTTAAAGCTAATGACATTCAAGAAACAGGACATTTTTCTAGTTTATGTACAGATGCCATCAGTGGGTCCCATTATTAATTGATGCTGCAGTATACTGACAATACAAATGCTGGACACAACTGTTAAGCTGATTCTACCACAATATGCACTTAATAAATTGATACACATTATTCTTAATTCAGAATTAACATTTTCTTTCTTCAAGTGAAGTCTTGTACTAATGTGCCTTTAGCAAAATGCAAATGAAGACACTTTTCTGTAGGCAGTAGACTGCTGGAACAATAACAAAGTGGCTGGTAATACCTCATTGCTGAGAGCTGGAATTGAAGTTTAAATTGAACTGTAACGGACAATCTTTTTCCCTCCATGACTTAAATTAAAATAATGATCATAATTTATATATGCAGAATACCTTCTTCTGTGATCTTCAAATAATTTTAGAAGGACGAGTAGTAGTTATTTTTCAGCGGGCAATTCAACATTGCTGTGAGCTCAGAATTGCTGGCCTCAGAGCCATTATTTAAGAAAAAAAAATTGAGTAGCCATTTGCCCAACTGAGTGTATTAAGAGAACTAATAATTCCTCACAGAACAATTGTAAGCATCTATATTTGGGTAAAATATATGTAAGGAAAGAGTCTTTGGTAATTCTAGGCTCTCCTAGATGATGTTATCATCCTGCCTGGCTTGCCCATCTTTACAAAAAAGCTCTGTGTACCTGATAAGGTAGCTCTAAGACATATTTAAAGATCACAAGAATCTTTTCCACAGGGAAGACTTTATAGGACTTAGGGGACAACAGAACAGGTAGAAAAAATTCTAAATCCTGGTGCAGTGCACAAACCTGCAGTAGTTCTGATAAAAAAAAAAAAACCAAAAAAAAACCAACAACTTAATAACTTTCAGATGCAGGAAAGCATTTCTGAAGGAGTCAAAAAGCAGTCAGCCTCAGACAGTAGCAAGTATTACACAGTTAATGTTTATATGATCCCCCACCAGCGAGAGCCCACCTGAACAGTTTGCAAAATGAAACAGTACTGATGCACATTTTAAGTTGTAATTCAGCATGCCAGTATCAGATTTACCATGACTATGAGCAGAAAGCTATATGGAGGTATCTGTAGTGTTTACTTTTTGGATGCCCAGAATTTTAAAACACTTTTATTATCCTCCTCTTGTGAGATCACTTTAGTATCCAAAAACTTAGAAGAAATGGTCAATTCTGTCATGTTTTGTTCACTTATTTCCAAGAGCACTGGCAAAAGCTGAAAAATGAACACATATCCTGGATTTCTGCTGCAGGGTTTTATTTAGCTGCCCACGCTACTCAGATTCACACACGTTGTTCTAACATGCCACAGAGAATCAAAATTTTTAGAAATTAAATTATCTCTGTCAGGTGCACCAAAGTGTTACATCATTTACAGTGCAGACAAGTTAGAGGAAGAAAAAACAAATCAGCTTTCCTATTGCATAAGACTTAGTATTCACAAAGGTTGCCATAAATGTTATTTATAGGACTGATGTGAGTCTCAGGTATTCACTCAAAATGTAGACAGACAATCTCCCATCAGTATCTATTTTTAAAATGTATAAATAAGAAATTATTTGCTATCTATTTTAAAAATGTATAAATAAGAAATTATCTGCTGGAGAGTGGCTCACACCTGATTAATCTGAAGACAGAAGAAGTAAATATAGAAGACTGTGAAGCTCCTGGCTACATAAGTAACTTCTGATGATTCATGGGTGGTTTAACATCTGAGATTTCTGTAGTAGAAGTCTTCTAACAAGAATTAACTTCTATATTGTGAATAGATTGCTCTCATTTGAGAGCAAAATAAATTCAAAGCTATTATCTTACAATCTTTTATTTTACATTTAAATTTAAAAGCATCACGTATTTGTATTCTAATTACAAACATGTGCATGCAAAAATTCTAAGAGAAGTCTGAAAGTCGAAAGGGCATTTCAGCTGTAATTCACATTGGGAACAACAGGCAACAACTTAAAAATATTGATATGCATTGCCAAAAATACTCAAATGGTTTTTTAGCTAGAGTAGGAGTTAACACCATGCAAATGACAAGTTTTCTTTAAAGCCTGGAAATAACACACCATCATCTATCTTCAGATGTGGAGACTAAAGAAATCCTTCATTCAATGCACCTCATATTTTACAAAACCCCAAAGGCTTTCGAGAGCAGCTGAGTGGGTTTTCTGAACAGATAGGCAGACTTAGGGCATACGAAAAATGGATACCAGTGCACTTTCATTAGATAACCTGTTTCATCAGAGTAGAAGCCAACATTCATTCAGAGTTTAAGAGATGGAAGTCTATTTTCCTTCTCTGTTCCTGATGAGCAGAGTAGGAGCCAACATTCATTCAGAGTTTAAGAGATAGAAGTCTATTTTCCTTCTCTGTTCCTGATGAGAGCTCTACATGGTAAGCAGAAGCTCTAGGGGTCTGCTCTGTCCTCCCTATTACATTTATTAATGACAAAACAACAGGGAGGGTGTTTATATTATTGTATGGGTGACTCTCCTCACACAGCATTACTTGCATGTCACTGCAGAACTGGGTTTTGCAGATCTGGGCTTGCCAGAAACATTAAAGTTGACCCCATCCATGGAAATATGATTCATTGGGCCAGGGAGAGAGAAGGTATAAGAATATATTTCTGAAATTATCTACACAAGATAGGCATAAATATTTTTTAACACATGAAATATATTGGAAATGTCATTGCACAAAGAACCATTACAGACTGCTAACTATAGGTGCAAACCTTTCTAATAACCAAGCTCTAACTCAAAGAATATTTAGATGCATTTCATGTAATTGTGAAATATATAGATGTATGGTTTCAAAAGCAATTAAACAAATTAAAGGAACAAAAATCAGTTGAAGACAGTTAAATTCAGAAGGCAACCTCTCTGGTACAGGCAGTCCTTCAGCCAAACTGCTGGTGGAATTTTCCAGGGCAGTATCACTAAGTATGTGCCTTGCTCAAAGACTATTCCCATAATCGATGTCAGAGAGAGGCCAGTGGGCTGGATAAACATCTTTTCCCAAGAGTGGATCTGAATAAAAACTTTAAATTCATTTCTGCTGTTGTCAATCGTATCTTGGCTTTTCCATACTTTGGAAGTAATATGGTACTGCCATCAACTGGAGTTAAGAAACGTAAGGAAAAGGGGCTTTTTGAGTAGAAACTATGCTGTGCCACTGTGTACCTGGGCCTCTCTCAGCCTGGGTGTGATCAGTGTCTATACCTGGAAATTCAGAGGTCTTTTTGTCCAGAAACATAAAGGTTGCTTATGTCGTTTGCATGTATAAGCACAAAAACACCCACACCGCTCCTTTTCTGAATTAAGTCTGAATCTTCCCTCTCATATTTCTAACCTAGCAGGCAAACCCTTACCCTTTTTTTCTCATGTAAATTTTAGGACTATCAAGAAGCTTCTAATTTGGAGCAGTTTGTGACTCGCTTTCTTTTGAAGGAAACACTGAACCAGCTTCAGTCCCTCCAGAGCTCCCTGGAGTGTGCCATGGAAACCACAGAGGAGCAGACTCGGCAGGAGAGGTGAGCAAACCTTCTGCCCAGCTGCAGTGAAGGGGGTGAGGAGTGGGATCATAGTGAACCTCCAAGACCATTTTACATTTCACCCAACAACCTGATGTAGGGAATTAGAGGAGAAGTAAGGATACACTTTTTATTCCATATAGGAACTCACTAATAGGAGTTTTCCTGAAATTGAATACAAGCAGGTTCCAATCTGATCCAGTGGTGGGTTGCATGTAGGAGGACCATTTTGTTACATCCTAGGCTCTGCTCCTTTGAATTCTTTTTAAATCCACGGACTATTTAATATAAAATACAGAAACCAGACCACTGCAATGTAAAGAGCTCTGAAATAGTTACTAAGACCATTGACTGTCTCCTTGCTTCTTTCTTCCAGCTTAATGATTTTTTTTTCGTTCTTGGTTGCACAATGATGCCAATGTTAAGAGGAGAAATAGCCAGGCTCTTATTCGTTACAACTTCTTCCTAGAACATAAGGCCATAGTTTTGTTTAACAACTAACTCCATAAACTCTCAGTCACCTGAGTAACCTATATCTGTCCAAGGGGTTTAGCTGAATTTAATACCATGACCTTGGAGATGAGAGTTTGTAAGATCAAGGATCAAAACGTTTTTGAAAAGGTACCTGGCTTTATGGATTCGTTTTCCTCTATGTTATTAGGGAAAGCAAAATACAAGCTGTTGTGTTTCATGGACAAAGAAGATCTCAACACTTCGTGTGTTTTGAAATGCATTGCTTTATCATTCTTTCTTTTGGAAATGTCATTTTCTTGTTTGTTTTGCTGTTGGCTTTGAGATCTCTGAAATACATCAATAATACACTGGGGGTTTGTGCCAGCAGCTTGACCACAGGAATCAAGCGGGTTTGGAAAGGCTGAGGGTGTGCTGAGTATGCACAGTATATATACTCCTCCATTCATGCATAAGTCTTGCATGGCCTGTTCAGAGCTGGAGCCTAACTTAGGTGCTCTTACATCCTCTGGAGTAATCATTGACTTCTTCTCTGACTTTCCTTTTAGGACAGCCTCTCTAGAATTATGGTCTAGAAAGACCATCTGAGTAACTCAAACTACTCACTTGGGTGTGTAGAATTGGGTGATATAAACATCCCTTTTGCTGCCAGCTTTCTGCTCTGCATTGACTGTCTGGTAGGGCATTGTGGAGACCTCTTTCTCCAGTTTTATCATACAGCTGTTCAGAAATATCCACTTGGATTGTGAATTTGGTTTATGGCAAAGAAATTGAAAGAGGTGCAACACTGTTTGGCCAAATACCATCTTCACCATTTTCTGAGGTAGCAAGGGAAAAGCCAGGAAAACTCAGTACTTTTACTATAGCTATTTTGGAGAAAATGAGTTAGTTCCTAGTGCAGATGCCTCAGTCCCTAGGTAAAATCATCTTCATTTATGTTTAACTTAACTCAGGGGTGAACTGTCTGAATCAGAATCCCATTAAGACACTCCTAAACTAATTCAAGAGCGCTCACAGTAGGGAACTGCCATAATTTGGCTTACTGTGAAGGGATTTTATGCTGCAGAAAATACCATCCTAAAACATCTCCTTAACATAGTGTATGAGCTTTTGATGAGCCTTCATTCCTTGCTTCAGGAGACCAGAGAGCTTTCCAAAGCAGTGACCTGGGAATTATTTACTGAACTGTTTTAAACTACTGTTTAATATTCTTTGCAACCACTCATCCAACTAACTGTTCAAAACTAAACATAGTTCTGGTCCTTCACTGCCCTCTAGCCGGATGATGAAGAAGAACCATGTAGAGACAGTCTTCAGTCCTCACACAAACTCTCAAGCTTCAATGACTCTGTCATCACAGTACACACATAAGTCATTCCTGTATCTGCTATGTTTCAATACTGGTCCCAGAGGTGTATCTGTCCTCCAACCAATATTAGCTAATTCTCATCCGTTTTCCTTCCTGATTAACAGGTACATGTTGCTGTTTATCTTTTCAGTCTTTAAGCTGAAGGGGTCAATATTTAAAGTTCATCTCTCACTTTTAGCTGTTCTTGTGACCCCAGCTCCCCTGCAGAGATGCTACGAAACTCCTGTGAATGAAGAAACGATGTGAATGGTTGAATGGTTCCTTAAACCAGGTCAGAACCGTATCACAGACTGCTGCTGACCTTGAGCTTTCTCTCCTTAAAAGACAAGTTTACTAGCAACCTAAACACAACTTATTAGTAATAGTGAAAATCTGGAAAATAACTCAGTGGTCTCAATAGATGTATCTCCTTTTATAATTCAAAAGGCAACATACAAGCACGTATTTTGAGAACAGAGAGAGGAGAGCTCTCTTACATGTTTTACCTTATGAAGTCTCTGTGTTTCTACGCAGACAAGGCCCAACAAAACCAGAAGTGCTCTCAATTCAATGGCCAGGAAAACGCTCAGCTCGAAGGCTTCAGAGGAACAACAGTCTGTTGCCTAATAGCCCTCATTTTAGCACAGGTATGGTATTTCATATTTCAAAAGTATTCAAAACATGGGCATACACATATTTATACAGAAAAATATACATTTATCTTCCTCTCAAAAATTTAACTTAGACATGGTAACTAAGATACTTTACTGACAGAAATTCATCTTCAATTTAATATAGAAGGTATTAGTTCAAACTGTAAGGAAAATAAATATGCACCCATAGATCTGAATTGATAAAAAAAATAATAAATAATAAAAGAATTGTTTTGAGGCTGTGGGTTGATTCAACTTTTCTTAGGTAATATTTGTAGCCTGCAGATAAGAATGAAAAGGTGAAGGCTGTAACTTACACAGAAACCAAGTTCTCTGTCGTGATTTACATACCATCTGAGGGAAACAAACAAGAAATAGAAAGGGATAATACAAAAGCTGAAGGGAAAAAGTATTCCCTTTAAGATGATACAAAAAAAAAAAGAAAGAGCATTTCTGTTTTGGAAAATGTGAGAGGGTACTTTGGTAAACTTTGGATTCTTTGGAAGCAGTGGCATTAAGCATGAGGCTGCAATGAAGGAATCTCCAGGCCTAGTGATATCTCTTAGATCAAGGCTTGAAGATGACTGAAACACCAAAGTACATGATGGGTCAAGCCCACTTCTTGACCAGTCATGCAGATCTCTCTGCTTGCTGCCACATGCTTACTTCTTCCTTTTTAACCCTCTTTTGACGACCCTTCTGTCACTCACATTCATGACTCACTTTCTGCCACTCACCAGATGATGCTGTTCATCCAGCGCAATGATGCAGGATGGTGTTTGGTCCCTTGCTGTGAGTTGCTGGTGTTCGTAACAAGGAAGGTCACATAGCGTTGTTGACACACTTCTAGTTCACAGAGTTCAGAAGGAACCCAAACATATGCAAGCTGTATCCACTTACTGTATTAATAATATTAATTAACATCTTTCTCCACAGTTATTCTAAGAGCTATCTAACAGCTGTCTAATTTCCTAGACAAGATCTGTGTTTGTCTTGGCACTTGATCTTCCTCCTTGCTGCCTGCTGCCCACATGCACAGTAACAGTGTAGGTCTATATATGCACTCAACGCTCAAGCCAGCGCTTCATTCGCCTTTGTACTTGTTCAGGTAAAGCCACACGCTGCCTCCTGTATATATCACATCTGTGGTACGTCTCTGGCATTAGGATTTCCTTGTGTCGTGGTTTAGGCCGATCCGGCAACTAAACTCCACACAGCCGCTCTCTCACTCCTTCCCCAGTGAAGTGGAGAGGAGAAAAAAAAAAAAAAAAAA